CTCTTTCTCTCTCTAATTTTACATGATCAATATAGTTTGACCCATTCCTGTCAAACAGAAAATTGCATTTGCTATTTTCCTATTACTTTGTAAATATATTCTGTAATTTTAACCACCTCAATACAGATTTCTTGTTTTCTCTGCGTGTACGCGTATAGCAAGTATTATTATAAAATAGTTACTATTTTTTAAAACATTTTGCAACATTACGTCTTTAATTGTATCTACATTATTTAATTTATATATTATAAATACAATATTCAGTATCTTGCATCATCATATTGTATAGACTTATCATAAAAGTATTTAGTATTAATTTATTTTTTTCATTAGAAATAAACAATAAATACTTGGCGCTACAATTATCATTAGTACTAGACCCTCTCTCTCTGCTTAAAATATCTTAAAATACTTACAGAAATATTTCGATAGGGCCGAGACATCTTCTGCAACGTGAATACCCGATGCTCAATACACCCTATCGTCAAAGCAATTCACAATTTGCTGGGTGTCACACCTGCTAGTGTTGTAAAACAAGAAGCTATTGAATTTAACACAATACAAATTAAGATCGCTCTTACACATTGAGCCCGGTCTTTTTTTAGTTAAATTTTTTGTGTGCATTGTTCAGCTTTTTTTCTCTTGTTTCTTCAAAACGTGGAGAAAAAAAGAAGAAAGATAAACCGTGTAAAAGAGTTTAGCAGGAAAGACTTCTGGTTCCACGTAAAAATTAAAATATGGGAGGCAATAAAAGATCCGACAATATAATGATAGTAATTTCCGATGTTGAAGATTTCTCACGAACGTGGAATTTCTACTGTAAGTCCCTATCGATTCCCTTTGACGGACTGCTTTCGTGCTTTCGTAAGCGTGACGCGGTATCGCGGAACGATCATTACGCACGCTAGTAAGGGCGACGAATTAAAAACGACAACCAGTCGAGTGAGTTCAAGCAACCCCGGCAACCTACTTGTCACGAAGTCAAGCACTGACATCCGCGGAGAACCGGTGAATTGAAATTTGCCCGGCCACGTGTCAGGTGAAGCACTCGGGGACGACAATATGCACGTGCATCCGCACGGCTCGTAACTGGATACGACGAAACAAGAGGGTTCCGTAGTTGGGTTATCATAGGGTGATACGAGAGGCCACGACTCCTAGAAAGTCTACACGTGACGCACTTGTAGATCACAAACGCGATATCATGTTTCAGAGTAACGTCGCTTCCTCCTTTTTGTCTTATACGTGCATACCTGTCATTTAATTATAAAGTAAAATAACTCTTAAGATATGCAGAATACTCTGCGACTTTTACATAATCTTTAGTGCCTGAACATTTTTGAATTAAAAAAACATTCTAAGTAAAATTAATTGTTTTGATAATTTAATGACAAAGATATAAATTATATTTTACAGTTTTAAACCGTAAAGCGATACATATTTTTACTTATTTTAAAGGATATATATATGGATCCTTTCAGGATCTACTAAAAATTTTTTGAATAATATATTGATACATACGACATATATCATATATTTTCTCTTGACATTTTAATCTATTGGAAGGAGCATAAAAGAGCGTTAGGTAGACTTTCTATCTGCCTAAATTATTCTCCGTCGGCAAGTTGTACGTGCTGACGAAGCTAATGTGAGTACTTCGACAAGTCCTATCATCTAAGACGTAGCCGCTCCTATTTCTTCAGAATCGACACCGCAACCGATACTTTAAATTCAAACCTACTGTTGACATTTGCTTAAGTCTTACTTGGTATAACACAATACGCTTTGTTTTTTAAATTTAACTCTCTCTAATTTTAAATAGTAATTTGAATAAAACAGAAATTGGACATTATAAACACAATAACAAAATAATTAATTTAATTTAAATGTGATATTATTTTAAATTAAAACAAACTATATATATTATATATACAAGCGTTAAAAGTTATTTTAACTTTTTTCTTTTAACTTTTATCATATTACTAAAAATAATTGGAAACATTATTATAATTAATTCATGACAAATATAAAATACATATAAAAATAACGAATAATTCTAGAATGTTTTTGGATTATATGTATAGTTAAACAGATCGGTATTAGTGGCGCCATCCATTAGCGAGGGAAGAAGCAATTTGAATAATGTAGCAATATATATACATATAAATTTTAATTAAAAGTATTGAAATTTTTTAGTTTTTGTTTGTTTTAAAAAAAATATATTTTTTATAATTCTCTCTCTCTCTCTCTCTCTATCTC